AGCCGGGAGGGTTTGAACTTTGCTCCCAGGAACCAGCAGTAAGACAAGAGGGCTGGGTCTTGAGCTGTGCCAGGGGAGGTTTAGGTTGGATATTAGGAAGCAATTTTTTCCAGAGAGAGTGCTCAGCCATTGGAATGGGCTGCCCAGGGAGGGGGTGGATTCTCCATCCCTGGAGGTGTTGAAGGTGAGACTGGATGTGGCATCAGTGCCATGGCCTAGGAACCACAGCGGGGTTGGATCAAGGGTTGGACTTGATGATCTCAGAGGTCTTTTCAACACGGCTGATTCTCAGTGATTCTGTGATTTTAGGACTGCAAAGCCTCTTCAGTGTAATGTTCTGATTGACATCACCGGACGAGCCGGATTGTCCCCATCAATTGATCACTTGAGATGGTGACACTCACTGGATTCGGGAAGGTGAAGTCTGTGAGAAGTCAAAGGCTCATAAAGGAAAGCAATTGCAAGTGAAAGATTTGCACAATTATGGTGTAGCTCTTATTTCTTTTACTTCCCTTCTGGCTAGGAAGATTGTAAATTTTTAAAAGTATTTTTTAATATTTTTATTTACTGAAAAAATGGGGATAAGGGAAGAAATGCACCAAGTTTAGGTTTTCCTAGTGAAAATAGAAAATGTGGAATATGTTCTGGCCCTGTTATTAAAATGTTCCAGTGGATTTGGCCCAAATATTTGTAAATGTTTTATTTCAAGTACTGTGGGAAAAGCAAAGGAAGGGAAAAAAAAGTTTCTTCATTGACTTGCTGGGGCAGGAACTGAAGAAGGGAGGAGTGGTGATTGTACTCACTGTCATCCAAACAGGCAACCTGGATGGAATTTTGTCATTGTGCAAATTTAAAAAAAAATATTATCCAGATCAGGACATTTTATAATCATGTGTTTGCCGAATTGAAAGAGAACTGGGTATTCCCTTTAATGAACATTTAATCCAAGGATTTGGAGTCTTTTCTGAAAAGCAAACCTGTAGGACAGCCAACATCTGTGGCTGGTGCTGCTCTCCTGCCAGAAAACTCGCTTTGACACAATATTGCAGGCACTTACAAAGCTCTTTTTGGCTACTCCCTTACCAATGTGATGATGTTATTTGAGGACCATTATTTCAAAGTACCCCCAATTAAAATGTTTTTTATTTCTTATAAATCTTCTGCTATTTCTTCTGCCAGCTGATCTGGTGTTTACGACTCCCAGGGCTTGCAGAAATAATCTGTAATTGTTCTTTCTTTCCACTCCCAATATTAAGACACTTTTCCTTGTGTTTACCACCACACCTCTTTGTCTTCTGATGGAATTTTATATTCTGCTATTCTCTCCTAATTCCCTTTTAAGACCAGTAGGGGTGCAATCATTGTATCAGGAAGCAATAAACAGATTTATTTTACGCTTTTTGCAACAAAGAATTTTGAAGCCCAGACTTTCCAAGAACTTGACTTTTCGGATACACTGAAAATGAGCAAAAGGAAACATTGTGTCAGTTATACAAAAACCAGAAGATGTTTTCTTGATAAAATCAAAGGATTTTACAGAGATACATGAATTGCAGTGAACTCTCCCCAGAGCACTAACAGGGTCTGATGAGCTTTTTTGATGACTTCTTGTCTTGGCTTTGTGCTCTTTTTGGAACAGTGATCTGAAATGTTTGGTTGGTTTTTTGGTGGTGGTGCTTTCTTGGTTTTTTTTCCCTCCCCATCCAAAATGAGGCTTTCATGGAAAACATCTTTTTTACATCCTTATGTCTGTGTAGAGAGCAAGTTCTTGGTGTGAACTCGTGCAACACTCCATTCTTAACTCATCAACAGGTGCCAAGAGCAGCTCAGAATTATTTCAAATTAATCACAGGACTAACATCTTCAATAAAAGCTGGTAAGGAATAAAATGGTTTGGGCTTTGAAGTTGACATTCAAATAACTATTTCTTCTGATACAGTTTGTCAGGTCTTAAATGCCATAAGATTGATTTCTGACAAGCCCTTGTTAATTAACTGTGTTCTTTTGGCCTAAAAGTCAGGCATTGAATTTCAGAGAATGGTTAGGTTGGAAAAGACCATAAAGATCATCCAGTTCCACCCCTTGCCATGGGCAGGGACACTTTCCACTACACCAGGGTGCTCCAAGCCCTTTCCAACCCAGCCTTGAAGAATATTCTTGTTGTTCAACCCATGCTTGTTTGGTTAATAGTCAGAAAAAGGAAGTTGTGAATTAGGAAAAGGGGAGGAAAAAAAAAAACAAACCATCTTGAACCAAAGGAAAGAAAACAACCACAGATTTGCTGCTTCAGGAGCAGGATTAGTGTCCTTTCTCCCTCTGGATCCTTGCACACATCTTATGAGATTCCCCTCCAAGAAAGAGAGCTGAGGTGGGAATTCCTGCCAGGGGCATTTCTTTGCCAGTCTCTGCAGCTCCAGTGCAGCTTCAGAGCACAAGGGACACTGAGAAAAGTGTTGACCTCTTTGTTCTTCAGGTTGCATTTGGTTTCTTTGCTCTCCTCTTTTTCCAGTGCCACTTAGGTTTTTGTAATTAAGGACTGACCTTCCTTAATGAATCACCTGCCTGTGACATCTGCACGTTGTTCCCCAGGGCAGGATCCCAACCAGCCTCAATCGAGGTCGGACACTTTCACCCTCCCAGGAGAAGAGGGACAAAGTCCTGGTCTAACCATCTCTTCTCAGTCATCTCTTCCTTGTTTTTCCCCTCCATTGAAAACCTGGACATGGATTTTCATGCTGTTCCTCCACCCAATCCCTGGGACAGGTGCACCTGTGGCAGGAGCTTGTCCACAGATCCCTCCACTTGTAATCTCCACCAAGAGACTCTTCAAAGCTTGTACTCACAAACTAAAACTTTAAAGTTGCCTTGCTCAAAAAGAGACAGAAAGGCAGGCAGAGGAATGACTTCAGACCTTGGTACTGGAAGAGCTGAGTCCCAGAAACCAGCCCTTCCCATGGAGCCTTGGGACCATCCAAAACACCAAGTGCTTTGATGAACATCCAGATCCTTTATTTTGCATTGATGGGAGTGGGGGAGAAAGTCAGAAGTCACAAGTGAAGTGGTGGATACCTGTCTTTATTATTATTATTATTATTATTATTATTATTATTATTATTATTATTATTATTATTATTATTATTATTAGACTGAAAGTATTGATTCTGCTTTCTGCTTCTTAAAGATTTGTTCTCTTTTTTTGTTTTGGACTTGAATAAGAAACAGTGTTAGCTGGGATGCCATCTGCATACTCTCTTCTCATGGTGGCTGAGGAGCAATCCAGGTAGACTCCAGCTGATCAAAGCTCTCCATAGTAACCAGCAGCAACTCCAGGTAATTTTTTACTGAGAGAATCATTAGGAAACATAAAAACACTTCAGACTGCATGTATTTGGTAAAGACAGGCAATTATGCCAAAAACTGCTGTATCTGAGCTCATCTTGAAGCAATTCCTTAAGGTGATAAATTATCATCACTCTGACCCCACACAGGTTTTGGTAGAGCTGTGTGTGTGTTTGTTATGCATCTGAATGCCTGGTTCCTTAAAACCAAATAAGTTTTGCTATTGTTTGTTTCCTGGGAACAATTGTAATTAAATCAGAAGGCCCCTTATAAAAATTTTGCTTATTTCTGGCAAAACCTTTTCTGAAGGCTCTGCTAACTATTTCAGTCTGGCCCCAAGTTTTGGAAAGGCCATTTGTATTCTTCTACCTATTTCTGTGTTTTGTTTCATTTATGTAATTTTTCTGTGTTATTTTAAAAGCATAGAATCACTGGAATTTGGAAAAGACTTTTAAGACTGAGTCCAAACATAATCCTGACACTGCCAAGGCCACCATTAAACTGTGTCACATAAAACTCAGTGTCACATCTACATGTCTTTTAAATCCCTCAAGGGATGGTGACTCCACCACTGCCCTGGGCAGCCTTTTCCAATGCTTGACCACACTTTCCATGAAGAAATTTTCCCTATATCCAATCCAAACCTCTCCTGGCACAACGTGGGGATGTTTTCTCTCGTCCTGTTCCTTGTTCCCTGGGAGCAGAGCCCAATCCCCCCCCGGCTCCACCCTCCCATCAGGGAATTGTAGGGGGGCAGAAGGTCCCCCCTGAGCCTCCTTTTCTCCAAGCTGAGCCCCCCCAGCTCCCTCAGCTGCTCCTCATCAGATTTGTGCTCCAGACCCTTCCCCAAAACCCATCTTGTCTTGTCCCAATGTCTTCTCTTCTGTCCCTCTCCGTCCATCCCGATTTATAATTTCCCAGTTTACACATTTAAAAGAAAACAAAAATCTGGCCAGTCTCCATTTCCAAGTGCCTTTGATTCTAATTTCATTTTTGGTCATAATTTTATTCATCATTTCAAACCTATTTAGTTGGTTTTCATGGCTCTAGTTCCTTAATCCCCACTCTGGTGCCACGCTGCATTCTTCTCTGAGCACTGCCTGTGTGACATTGGCACTTCTGCTTTAATAACAATCTATTACATATTTAATGTGTTGCCGCAACACCACAAAATGCTTTACACAGAGAAGTCACCATTATTACAAACAGGGAGAAGGAGGCAGAGAGTGAAGTGGCCTTTATGTGACAGAAACAGGCCAGATCTGCTGATTCCCAACCACTTTCCAGTTACAGGTCGGAACCATGAGTCCCATGAACAGCAACTCAGTAAAAACAAATGTAACTAATTATTACGAATCTCAAAGTTGCCTGAATGTTCTGATTTTCCTCTAGAAAACAAAGCAGTTTGAAAGTTTAACATCAGTTAATTCAGTCCCCTCTCGAATGCTTTGATGGAAGGGATGGTTTCAATCTTGTTACATCTAATAGGGCTGAGGAGAAATAGAAAGCAATTAATTCTTACTCATTTTATCTTGGAATGTGGTGGGATTGTGAGACTTTGTTTTCAAGCTGCCTGGTTGCTGTGCTGGGTGACAGTGTGACAGTGCTGCAGCCTGGACACAGGAATAAATATCCATTAATGTATCTAAAGAGGGGCTACAATTTGCATCTGTGCAGCCTCTCTGCTGGCCAATTGCAAATTAAAAGATATAAAATCTCTGCATGGCACAATCCCAGACTGAGTGAATCCATCTGTTCCTGGGAGATCTGCAGCTCAGAATGCAGCAGGGACCAGGGGATGCACCAACTGCTGGGCTCCAGCTGAGAGCAAGCAGGATCAAAAAAATCATCTGGAATAAGGATGGAAATGTGGGGGAAAAATGCTGGAGTTTGTTTCCTCCACAGGAGCTGGTATGAGGCTCCTTCCCAGCGAGGAGGCCGGGGCTGCACAAGGAGCTGGGAGGGGACACAGCTGAGACAGCTGATCCCAGCTGACCCCAGGGATATTCCAGACCGTCCAGCATCATGCTCAGTGTGTAAAGCTGGGAAAGAAGGAATGGGGGGATGTTTGGAGGGATGGTGTTTGCCTTCCCAAGTCACCATTACTGTGATGGAGCCTGGCTGTCCTGGGGGTGGCTGAACCTGCCTCCCACAGGAAGGGGGGAATGAATTTCCCTATTAAACTGCCTTTATCTCAGCTCTCCAGTTTTCTCACTTTTACCCTTCAATTCTCTCCTCCTTGGGGCTGAGCTGCCAGTTGGGGTTAAAACATGACACCCCCCAACTACAGAGGGGTCCCCCCTGCCCTGCAGAACCTGGGCTGCCCTGGGAGCAGAGGCAGCAGCTCCAGTCCAGTACCATCCAGCACCCCTGCTCTAGGGCAGCTGCCCTCAGATACCACCAAGATAGTGAAAAAAAATATTTAAAATAATAAATTATTAAGAAGATAATGGATTTTTAAATAATTTCCTAAGAAAAATGAGTGCATTTAGTCCTAACGTTCCAGGAGATGCAAGAATAGGATTTATGCAGCCCATGGATTTTGGGATGTGCCAACTCATGAGGCAAGACTAGACTTGGATATTCAAGACTTTAATAACTTCCTTTAAGTAAATGAAACCACAGTGATAATCTATAGACAGGTCACAGTACTGTCAGTAAAGGACACAAGGCTTCACCCTCTAATCTTGGTAAACTTAGTTTTGGGAACAGGCAGGATGGAGGGAGAAATGGCCAAAGTTCCTCCTGGCCCTGCAGCCAGCACCCCACATCCTGGGCTTTGGATTGCTGAGAAGTGAGTTCTGAATGGTTGAGAGCTACAATTTCTGCAGCTCTGAGCCCACTACAGCAGCAGACAACTCGTACCCTCTGAAGGAAATGCAGATGTACGAGTTTCTGGTGTAATCACTGTCTGTAGGGGGATACAACTGGCAAGGACTATTTCAAAATATTCATCTTGAAATGCTCTGTTTATTCAACTTAAATATTTTGAAAGAAAGTGCTAATAATGACAGGATTTGAGCTTTGAAATTAATGTGTTTTTCCCTTTAATTGCATTGCATTGTAAGAATTAACAAAATTACTTCCTTTCAAGAAAGGAGAGAAAATCAACAACTTATTCAAAGCAGTGTGAACTGGAAGGTGATTCAAGTCAACTGGAAAAGTCCCAAATGATGTCCTGCTGGTTGATGTTGCTGCCCAAGGAGCCTCTCCTCTGTCATGGAGGGGAATGAATGGGTGACAGGGGACAACTGGCCTGTGAAGGTTTGTGCATCTAGGAAAGAACTAATAAGTGGAAAAAAGCAGAAGTTCTGTTGGAAATAACACTGAGTCTTGAAACAAAGTCCTGGTGCTGGTAGCAGTTCACCCCAGCACATCCTGGGGAGTTAAAACCTGTGTCAGTGCTGGGCAACTGCAGCTCAGGGGTGTCTGTGCCTCTCCAGAGCTGCCCTGCTGGCTCTGGCTGCTGGGGGTCCTCAAAGGAGCTGGAGAGAAGGGAAGGATCCATGAATGAATCCCAGGAATGGCATTCAGCATTCCTGTTGGGCTACACCATGAACTGGCAAGGAAGTTCAAACTGGAATCTGCCTCCTGTGTCTCTGCCAATAACCACAGAACATGTGCTTGCTTTTAATAAAACCAGACAGTCATTAATGTTGGAAAAGACCTCTAAGACCATTGAATCCAACTGTTAACAATATTGGCTCAACAGTATGTGGCTGGAGGATAAAAAGCTGTATTGCTTTAAAAATTTACTAATTTGCTGAATTCAAATAAAAGTGGGATTTGGTGAAGCAAGCTGAGGGTTTGTGTCTGAACATCTGGCTGTAGATGTGACCACTATTGTGTGTCAGGGATCTGCAGGACTCTGTTCCACCCCTGTGGGAAATACCATGCCCAAAGAGGTCTGGTTTGTGTCAAAACAAACACTGGATACGTTGCTTCATATGAAACAGAGTGTTCATCAAGAACAGTAATGAATTAGTTGGCTATAAAAACCCTTCTGTTCTCAGAACTAAAATGTGATGCACTTATAACAGAAAGGGCACTTTTTGTAAGACATTGAAGTCTTCTTTATATGTTTTGAATATATTTTACTAAATCAGTTGCCTGGAAATGGAGTTTAATTCTGGAATTCAATGAATGTTGAACAGTTGTTTCCTCTCTGCACTGTTGGTTGTTTTATAGGTACTTCACATGCACCTTCTTCAGTCATGTCTTCTGAGAGCCAGTGTTACATGGATTTATTTGGATGGGAAATGGTTCCTCAGTTGGGATTATCCTTTTTGTCTCTCTCTGGATTATTTTACCATTCACAACTGCAGGTAGAATTGCAAACACAGATGCATCACTGGTTAATGCAGTGGTGTCTGTCCTCTGCCTCCCTCTCCAGTATCTCCCCCAGTGTGTTAACTGCATTTTTTCAATGATAAGAATTGATTTGGAAAATCACTCTGACAACTCCTCTGCAAAGTGCTCATCAAGGAGTCATCAAGGACTCAGGCTTTTGCCTTCTTGCATGTCTTTGCATTGTCGAAATTTTATTGTCTAGGCTTTGTTGCAGGACCTCCTGATGCTTTCTGCATGGTACTCTGTCTTATGGATCCTGGAAAAGAACTGGATACCATTTGGCAACTATGAGCATCCTGTGAGTCCTTTTGGACTTCTTTCCTTTCTGGAAAACATCCATTCTTCCCTAGCCTTTAAGCAACTGTTGGTACAAAACTAGTCTTGGACTTAATTTTTGTCCTGTGACAGCTCAGTATGTTTAAGTGCCTTCATAAAGGCACTGCTGAAAGATGCATTTAAGTAAAATAATAAATCTGTGGTGTATCAACAACAGATCTTTATCTCTCCTGTTGATGCCTTAACATTTTTAGATCTCCAGGGCAAGAGCTCTCTCTGCTCTTATCTGAGTGTTTGACCTACTTGAGACTTTAATAACTTTTATTAGTTATTTAATAAGTTATGTAAGACATTTAGTAAGTTTTTTATTCAGTGCAGTGCTGTGGTGGGGTTTTTTGCTCCATAATCATTCCTCCTGTGTTTTACTCCACAGGAATCCTGAGGAAAATCACACATCCAGCTGCTCTGTAACTGAACTGTCTGACCAGCTGCTCCAGGGCAACATCCAGAGCTCCATCCCTCTGCTCCTTGGCTGCCTGGTTGAGCCCCAGGAAGCTGTTCATGGTGTCTAAAAATGATACCTCTGCCCTGTGTCCAAGTGTGTGTCCCACTGCACACGGCAGACATGTCACCTCTGTTCCCATCCCAAGCCAGAAATCTGGGCTCCCATCCTCAGGAAATCACCCTCTGTGGCTTTTTCAGTCGAAAGGTTTGTTTTAAACAGTGCTCAGAAGTGGTTTTTCACAGGCTGTGAGACAGTTTATCGTGTTACACTGACCCTTTTTTGTTCTGTTTCAACAGCTAAAAATTAGGGGTGATTTCTGTGGTGTTGCCTAAGGATGCATCTCACTGAGTTTGTCTTACACTCTGTCATGGTTTGAGATAGCCCCAAAATCCAATCCCCTAGTCTAAGCCCCCTCCCACATCTCAATCCAATGTGAGATGGGTTTTTCCAGACAAAACACACCAGACTCAGAATGGGGGAAAGGGAATATATTACAATGACTGTACAGATAAATACCATATCACATTATACACACGATCACAATATCTCTACCATGACATATAGTATTTACAATGGACCAGATCTCTTCTCCCCTCCAAATAAAAGTCCAGGAGGGAAAGAAGGACAGATCCCTTCCAGTCTCTAAACAGCAGGAGCATCTTCCAAGGCAGCAGGTTTCTTCTTCTCATGCATGCAGCAGCTGTGGCTGGCTTTCTGCCAGCACTCACGAGGGAGGTATCCAAGCAGGTGCCCTGTTCTCAGGCTGCCACCGTGGCAGCAGTGCGAGGGGGGAGCCAAGGTCAACTCCCCCCGCATTCCATCTGACTGTCCCGGTCCAGCTCCGGGACCTCTTTGAGCTTCTTAGCTCCTCTCTCTCTCCGGTGCTGCATGTCCAAAACTGCTCTCCAAAATAGGAGTCCATGTCCCTCCTTTTCTCAGAGGGGTCTCAAGGGAGTTTTGGGGTCTGGTATCAGTCTTACCCCAAACTCTGTAGCTCTGCTGCTCTCTCTCTCTCTCTCTCTCCGGTTCAGGTCTTATCTGTCCTGGCTCTGTGCCACTGTTTCTCTGGTCAGTGCCGGCTGCTGCTCTGCGCCCATGGAGAAAAAACATCTCCTGGCATAACTACAGACGCTTAGTCCAGTCTAGCACTGTTCCAAGTCTCTGCAGCCTCCAACTGGGGCTGGGGGGGGGGCCCAGAGGCCCCGAGGGGCTCAGAGCCCCTACCTCGTGGCTCACAACATGGCCACCACTCCTCAACAACCCAAACTACCACTCATCTCTTCCGGTGAGCTTGTGATATGTTTACATTTTTGCAGGAGCGCCCATTGGGCAAAACTTCAAAACATCCAGGGGTTTCCACCCCTTGGGGTCTACTACTTTTCAGCCTCTGGGGGAAAAACCAAGGTCCAAACCACCACAACTCTAAACCAGCTTCTGAGCAGCTCACAGCCCGTTCAGAACAATCTCTTCTCTGCAGTGCCTGGCCTGGGACATGCCAGAGGAAGGATGCATTTCCTCCAGCAGAAAATATCAAGGCTAGGGACAAAAGAGCAAACCTTTCTGTCTGTTCAGAGTGTGTATTTGGATCCCCTTCTACCAGTGTAATGCACAGAGAATTTCCAGGACAAACCAACTGCGACTGCACTCCCCTTGTTCATGGCTGGGCACATTCCTGTGACCAGGACTGATCCAACAAGCAGTGGTGGAGCAGAGCTGGCTGTAGAGCTCAGCCACCAGCTAAAATCTGCTGAGTGTGTTTGAGTCTTTGTCTAGAGCATGGAATTGGCTTAGAATGGGAGAGGACTCCTGGACAGCTCTGGAGAATCAGCCCTTTTCTGTGGTGTGGATGCATCGAGGTCATCGTGGTTGATCCTTGGTTTCACAGTGGTGTCAATGTGGACCAATTTAATTTAGGCAAAGATGCCAAACTGCACCAGGGCTAAACCAAAGGCCAGGATTTGTTACTCTGGCTTTGCTGTTTGGGGCAGATAAACTGTCAGTATTTAGAACTGAGAGGATTCCTTGTATCTAAGCACAGGAGACTCAAGGTGTGGTTTGAGCTGTTCGAATTTCTCTGCTGGATTAACCTGGGCACCTCTAAAGGTCTTCTTTAAAAGCAAAGAAGAGAAAGCTCCTGTTTAACCTCCTGGAGGCTCATCAAACCCCACAGCTGTCACGGTGCCCAAGATCTAATTTTAAATGGGCCAGGAGCAAAGTTGGGGGTTAGTGCAGACACTTTTAACTGTGTCCTTTGGGTACCTAATTTTTTTGAGGTGTAATGTTCTTGTCCTGTCAGCACAGAATCACAGAATATTCTGAGTTGGAAGGGTCCCACAGTGAACATCCAGTCCAGCTCTTAATTGAATGGCCCCTACACAGGATTGAACCCACGTCTTTGGCATTTTTAGCACCAAGTTTTAACCAGCTGAACTAATCTCAGGGTCATCAGTCACCAGCACATCTTCATTTCACTGAATAACAGCCCCCCAAATCATAAGTCTTGGAAGTTTTATTGGCGCACAAAACTGAGTTTGTGTTTTTAGCAGTTGTCTTTCCTTCCCAAAAGGAGCTGCAGGCAGACCCTGTCCCTCAGAAGCTGCTGGGATCAAGGCTTTGTGACCAGGTTTGCAGCAAACCCTTTTTGCAAGAATGCCTGTTTAAACTCATGAGAAAAATAGACCACAGTAGACATTCAAGAGAAACTTGTAATTCCTGTTGGACACCAAAACAAAAAATTAAAATTTTTCAATGTCTTTGTCCCACAAACCCTTTCCTAGAATTATGAGAAATATAGGATTTATATTTCTCTGGGGAAAATGGAAAAATAAATCAATATGTGGTAAGGCAAACTGCAGGAGGAATTTTAGCTCAATGAATCTGTCCAGGCTTCCCTTTCTGCTGCCTCAACTCTTCAACACTTCTGTTTAAGGTACACACAGAGTGAAAGAGCCAATGCAGAGCATTAAAGAAATGTTGAAAGGCACCATTTTTCCTAGCAGTGTGATATTTTGACATTGCCATCCCCTTCCTTTTTTCCAAGCCTGCCAGGGAATTTGGTCTCCACAAAACATAGTTTTCAGTGAATTTGAGTAATTTGTTAAAGATGTTGCTGCAATATTTCCCCTCTAATTCTTTCCCCGAAGCTTTAGACTGAAAAGTTTGAATGTCATATTTAAATAGAAGCACAGCTATAAATTTCCACTGGGTTCCCAGATTCTGAGTCTGACAATTAATACATTTCTGTCCTTTTTTTTGTCTTTTATTTTCACAGTTGGCAAACTTTACAGGCTTATTCTGCAGGTCTGAAGAAGATCTTGCTCCTGTTTTCAACGAATGCTGTAGTGGATTCTTGGATAAAATAATTTGAACAGATTTTGCTCATTGGACTGTACTGGCAAAACCTTAAGCCTGTTTCTTAAGTGTTAATCTGAAACAAGGAC